CCCCAAAACCCCAAAACCCCAAAACCCCATGGACTTCACAAAAATTGAATTAGTGGTATTATTAGTTTTATCTTGAGATAAAGTTGTTGAATTAAAATATAATTTTGAAATGACTAAAGGAACTCAACGATTGCCTGTCAATGGGCTAATCTGAGAGACTTGAGCATATTTGACAGTGAATATTCTTTATAGCAAAGATTTTTCTTGATTGTTCTGCAAAGAGCCTTAAAGACTTAGAAGATAATTTAATAGTGATATCCAATCAGTGAATTCTTAGGTTCTTCAAGGCTCTGTGTAGAACAGTCGTTAAAGAACTTTATTTAAGAAAATATTTCCTCTAGAATGTACTTATCAAGTCTCAAAGATGTATTCATGCTCAGATCGTCTCCTACGAATTTCGATATTTTCCAAATTATTGATACATATTATTTTCTCCGTAAAGAAGCGATAAAGTTTTAAGTGAACTATACTATTGAAAAATATGGTTATAAGGTTGCTAATAGTAGATTTAAGGTCAGCCATGGACAACTCATCATCAATAGCAGGCTAGACAGCTGAAATAAGATTTGGAATAACATAGTTTTGAAGGTGGTGGGCTTATTAAGAAAAAATTATTTTACCTTGATTATAAAAATATAGATGTGTTAGATTTAGACATTCTAGGAGTTGAAATACTGAAGACTTCAGCTAAAATGCTATGCATAGTTCTGATAATTCCGGAGTATTTAAAACAGTTAATTTTCATGAACAATTTTATAGCAATTCCTAACTTCACGCTGCTCTCATATCTAAGAACTTGGTTCAGAAATTAAAGGTTAAGAATTAAGAAATAATATTGGTGACCTAAGTCCATATTTCCTTGGTGAGGATTCTTAAAGGACAAAATGCTTGGGTTCTCCCAAAATGTCAGAAACTTTTCAGTTTACGTACATATGTCATGAAGGAATATGAGTTGGAACCATTTAGAATTTGTAAATGTTAAGGTATTTAGACTGCTCTTAAATCTGGTTCTTGTTTTAATTATCTGCTCCAAGATTTCTGATATAAGCTTGGCTGTGATTAATTCTTGAAATTTCTGATTCAGCTATGAATTTAGTAGTAAATAAGGCAAAATTTCTTGTAAAAGTTGGAGATATTTTCTGATATTTCGATCAGGCTAAGCTTGGTGGATTCGGTCATTTATTCATTGAAATGGTGTCCATAGCTTCATATAATTTGTTTTACCTTGGATGTTAGGGACAACCAAGCTAATTTCATTTTCGTTGATTGAGGGTATTCTAAGGGTGGTTCTTTATAATTTTACAAAGAATTAAGGATTTTATTGCAGGATTTTGGTCTAACTGAACTGTATGGCTATGAATAAAGGGGGTATAACTGGTTTAGGATGCCTCATCTTCTACTCCTTTATAAACCTGATTTAATCAATATTTATCAACACCAAGTATGCTATAAAGGAGGTTTATTGATTCAAGAAAAATATCAATACCAGAAGTGTGAGGCATGGACAAATAAGGCTAAGAAACTGATATTTATTTTGACCTGGGACATGCCCAAATGACTCTCTCAACATGATCTATGGACTTTAGAAGTGTCTAACCCTCATCTGAACTCACAAACTTGCATGCTTACCGCTTGGAGATGGTGTTGGGGGTATTTATACCAGATGTTTACTTAAAAGGGTAAAATAAAACCTCCAAGCTGTTTTAGTAATTTATATTAGTATAATTTTCAAGGGTCTGGCAGAGTGCTGGGGTTTTGGGGTTTTGGGGTTTTGGGGTTTTGGGG